AAATTTAATAAAAATATATTTTGGAGCTAGGAAAAGCATATAAGTTGCTTTTTGTCTCGAAAATATAATTGTATGGGTTGGAAATAAGGGATGAAAATTAATATGCTGATTTAATCATAGTTATAGTTGTGTAATTTGAATCCAAATGGCGCTTAAGTGCATTATTAGCATTTATCAGCTCTTTAAAATAAAATTAAAAGACAATAGGTCCTTAAAAACTTAAAAAATCCACTTTATAATAAGTGATGCAGCAAAATTTGCAACTATGATGCAATATTGTGTAATTTACATGATGATACCGATAATATCCGACCCTGAGTAGTTAATTAATCGATTTAAAATGAAGTATCTACTCTCGAAAGCATGATTGTGTCCCACAACGTAATCAAAATTGTATTATTTTTCATTCACATCAAACATCCGTTAAATTACGACTACAAAGTATGCTCAACGCAGATACGAGTACTTACTCAACTAATGCACTTAACAATATTTTTTTCTCCCGACTCGCCGTCGATTTATCTACATGCCTACAGCTTGAGTCTTGAGTAGTTTGTGGTGCATTGTTGAATTATAGCTGTTATCTATAGAAATCTCGTCTCGGTCGTCTTTGCGGTGTGTTTGCATGCGATTACGGTACCTTGTGCGTTTGTTCCGCGGCACGCAGACGTCTTTTATATTTATATTAATCGATATGGTTTATTGGGTTTACGGCTGTGCAGCAGCGCGCCCGGGTGGCGAACGGTAATTTTATATCGTGCGTTTATTAACGCGGATGGCAGCGGCAGCAGCCACCAGGTGTTTGCGCAAGAGGAAGTCGCGCGTATTTTATTTGCCTAAATTAATTTCCAAAGACCGCGACATCCCGTAATCCTCGGCTTGTTGTGTTGAGTATAAATTATATGTGCATATAAGTAAAATTTCTTTTTGGTTGATAAAATAATATAATGCGTTATGAAACGGGAAGTTGAATAATTAACAATTTTAATTTTATTAATTAATTTCACAACGGTTAAATAAATTGTTGTTTTTTTTACTTTGTTGCTGGTTTTGCACACTTTGTAGAATTTTATGGAATAAAATAGTTTGGCGTATGCATTAATTTCGTCGTGGCTGCCGAATGCATCCGACGTTAATGTTGCATTCAATCAATTCCCATAGAATTTCAGCGTGCAGCGAAATCTTTCGCACATCAATTTTATATTTTCATACGGATTGGGAACGTGCACCTTGCACTTTTATCGCTTTGCCATTTTATTGCTGAAGATACATATAGATTTCTGATTTCTAGTACTTTCAATTAGATGGGCTTTCAATTTGATGTTAAAAGAGGCGAAAAAGTTATTGCATTCACCGATGACATTGATTTATTTAGTAATTTCTTGCGGATAGAGGTACATTTGCAGTGGTAAAGCTTAATTTTTTGATGTAATTGAATAAAAACATCATTTTCTATGCCAATGCTACAAAGATATATTTTTTGCACTAGTGCGACAAAAAATGTAGTTATTATTAGGGAAAATTAATTTGTTTGACAAAAAAGATAAAAGTCACATTTTTTGCATTAGTGCAATGATATTTTAAGAAAAACATTATAAAATAATTTTTTTATGGTTTTTTAATCATTGGACAGTATAACAAAGTAATTTATCCTCAGTAGAACTATAAAATTCATATTTCTACAGTAAACCTGCCGTAAAAATGTTTTTTTTTGTTTGTTAAAGGGCTCAATAATATTACTATTACTAAGTACACATTAATACAGCCAATAGTAGTTAAATTTTAGAAAGGCGCTTGTTTTATGAACAAATAAACATCACTGATTAAATTCGCGTGATTTTGGCGAGAGCCGCTTCACATTAAAACCATTACGGTCGCCGTAAATTATCCCATCTGTGCGCTATCAGCCTCTGCAACCTGTGAACATTTTGCAATATTCCTCTTCCATCCACGCTTGTATTGGCATTTCGCGTAGCGTTCGCTGCCTTTTTTTCACGTGTTTTGTTTTATCGGCGCGTCGATTGCACGCAACGCGCGCGAATTGTAAATTACGAATTTAGCGATTTGCAGCGGCATTAATATCCGCGCCGCCGATAATAGGATTTTCATCGAGTGTTCTAATGCGTTGCTGAAATTAATAGGGGAATGGGCGCGCGAGATATGCGCGCGCGTCGCGGATAATAATTTACGCGCGGAGTCTGCACATTTCGCAGCCGGCTCGGGTGTCTCGCACTTCTGTTTTTATCTCAGAAATGTGCGCAGCCTGTGCAAATTGCAATGCAATGCGAGGCGATGCGATGCGAGTGCAACTTTGTTTCGACTTGCGCAATGAATGTGGTGAATTGAAATTAATTTGCTTGATTTTTGCAAATAGTTTAACTATCTGCATGGTAAATAAATTATGTATAGTTGCGGCTCTTTTATTTCATATCTACTTTTGCTCAGGAATCTATACATGCAGATTTTCAACTAATTACTTTCCTGTTTGTTGATGCTCAATTTTAATTTTAAGAAATAAAAGACTAAAGCACTTTGGCGCCATCTGGGTTTCTATTATGTAACTATATCAGTGGTTGAATCTTCCTACTGACTTTAATTCTTTATTTTGCACTTTTTCAGTTATATTTTTGCAACAAAAATTTGCTTATTTGCTTCTTCATGGTCATAAATATCTTTATTCCAAAATTCATCAAAATTGTTTCAATGGTTTTTGCGTGAAAGCGTCACAAACAATCTAATTCACATTGGGAGTAAGTTAAAACGCTGTTTTGTGGGTTGCATACAATAATTAGTTAATTATTTAATAAGTTGTAATCGATTTTATTTGATTTTTCTTAAATAATCATAAATTTAATCTAAATTGCTTTGTAATTTGTTATTAAAAATTCTTATCAATATAACACTTCCATAAATAGATGTAGCATTTAATACTCAATTAATTTTCGAAGAAATTTCTAAAATAAATAAATAACTTTTCGAGTTATTCAAAAATAACTAAAAATACAAATAATATTTTAATATCAAGTATCTAGTAAAGTTGCCGCAACTATAAATACAAATATAATTTGTTGTTTTTATTCGTTCTGAAACAAATAACTCTGATCGTTGAAACCCATTTAAACTCACTCACTTCACAGCGGGGCGATGCGTGATCTTGAATAGTAATTAAGTTTTTTTCTTGCGCGCTGCTCGCGTTATTATTCGCCGCTCACAATATTAATACATTTCGCAGCGCACAACAAAGTGGCATAAACAACGTCGGCATTCAGCCGAACACACAACGTTGTTGTCCTTGATGCCGAGTGTTTAAGTTTACATCAAGTGCCATTATGTAGATGTCTGATTACGATGACGATACCGAAATGCACGCCGAATGCGAATGTAAATCGCGCATTAAATTTATTCTTCGTACTTTCGGGACACGTGCGAGAGCAAACACACAACAGATTAAACATGTCATGCGTAGTCATCATCAGTCACGTGAGGAACGTCAAAACAATATGCGCACAATGGACCCGACTGCAAATTATAACATTTAAGATTTTTTTTATGTTAATATGTGTGCTGTGTAACATGTAGCACGTGGTAAACTTTCTACTAAGGGTGAATCACCTTGTGGTTACTTACCCTATAATTTTTGTATTCATGTGGTGCAATTGCGCACTTGTTACTTATAATTTTCTTACGAGTTGTGATGTGAAACTGATATATTTTATAGTTGCAAGTCACGCATAGAACTATTTCACCCTAGTTTTTAAAAATTTGTTTTTTCTTTTCTTTTTTATTTGAACAAAGAAAACGTTTTTGGAGAAACCACACGCGCCAAAAAACGACAGTAATGATGACAATAACAATAACAATGTCGCTTTCGAAATTTATTCACGACCGGCCGAGAAATGACATCAACATTGCCGGCTTTTATCGAACGACGAACTCGCGAACGCGCGCAGCAAACAATAACGAAATTAGCGATGTAAATAACCAAATAACATGTCAAGAGTTGTAATTTTTCAACCTTCGTCTTCTACTCCTTCAACAATTCAACACCAATCGACCAATTTTTATTGTCCTTGCAAGAAGTTGAAGTGTCATTAAAGTGTTTTTATTTTTATTTTCAACATTGTTGAATTTTTAAGTAGCGTAAAACAATAAAAATTTGTTTTATGTTACAAATTATTACAGTTTGCGGAGGCTTTTGTTGATAAATTACTGTGTGGATAGATTTTTTCTATTGTCATGTATTGTTAAGAGAATAAAAGTGATCTCACGCGGTGTTTTAGTACATAATGTCAATGTCAATTGTTGTTTTCTAGCAGTATTTGAACTTTAAAGATAAATTTTTTGTTTTTATTTTTTATGGAAAGTTCTTTAGCCTTTTCGCTGTTGGTTATAATGATTTTGATTTTCTTTGACGTGGATTTCTGCTGGTTTTGTATATTTGTGTGCGTTTGGAGGGTAATTGCACGTCTGTTTTCAAACCCTATCCGTGCAACATGTCTTCTGGTTTGTGTCTTCTCGACGTTCGCATCCTTTCGGGATGTTGAAGTCGTGCATTATTTAAGGCTGTACGCGTGTAATTTAAGTTTATGTCCTCGTAAAAAGCGCCGCTGGGCGGGAAAGAAAATAAGACATAAACTTTTTTGTTTTTGAAAAATAAAAAATAAAATACAAGTAGTATTTTTTTGCTTTGTGGTTGGTATGTTGGTTTAGTTTAGTGTTTTGCATATTATGTGCATGACACGCGAAATTTATGAAACACGGACGTACGAAGAACGCACCCTAATTTCCGGCGCGCGCGCGCGCGAGTGTTTTACGCGATTTCGCGACGCGTCGTAAACCCAACAACTTTGAGGTCAAAGCCTACGCAGATCACCACACCGGTAGAGTCGGTTCGTTATTTGGGACACGAAAGGGCGATCGAAATGTCTTCGCATGTTTGACCTAATTTATATCTCTTCATTGTAATACCTAATTATATTATATTTCTGCGTTTGTTTCAGGCACAAATGGCTGATGATGACGGCGAAGCGAAAAAGCAAGATGCGTTTCTTCAGAATAAGGTAAATCAATAATCTTGAGCATAAAAATCTTTGCGCTGTATTATTACCGAAAAGAAAGTTGCGCGCCAGTGGGAAAATTGAAAAATTAATCTGCAATTATGTGATAATCACACGGTGATTGAACATTCGGGTATTTATCGCCGATAACTGAAATGTATCCGACTCACCGAGTGCGGACAGTGTAATTGCATTACTTAAATCAATCGAGAAGTGAATCATTGATTCGCTGATAAAACATTTAGTGCACTTTCACCCAATTACAACGCATGATATGCTCATATCTCGTAATGTATGTAATCGACGGTTCAAAAATCATGAAAAAATTATATTGAAAACGAAAATTTCAAAATTTAATTTATACGTTTGATGGCCAATGATCATAAATCGAGAAAACTGAGCATAATTCATAATTATCTTTCTTTTTCTTTCTTTCTTCGTAAGTATCCAATGGGTAAGATTACAATGAGTCGCTTTCGGCATTGTTTAACGAAATATATCGCTACATATTGCTACAATTTCAATTTCAACGTGTGGAAGCAATAAACAGGTTGTTGATATTTTTATATGCTTACAATTTCACCTTTCTTTCGAGTGCACGTTGCACAATCGTGACAATAATTACTCCGGACTGCGATGCGTTTAAACGATGCGGCGTAATTTCTTTTATCTCCTGCGCTCGTATTTCACGTTCACGAAATTCCGAAATTACGTGCCATAAATTAACATTTATCATCGCTGCATTGCTGCCCTTTGGGAGAAAAGTGAAACTTTTCTGGTTTAGTTATGCGTCCGGAGTTCAAATGGATTTTTATTCAACACGTTTCTCGAGTTGTTGAGTGTTTTAGTGATAAGAGCGCACAGCGCGCCGGAAATTGATCGGGGTGGTCTTTATCAGCCGCGATGGAATTAATCACGCATCGAAAGTGTTTTATGTTTGTTTTGATTCAATCAAAATTAAAAAGTGAAAGTTGAACATTTCGATTTCGTCGCATTGGAGATTTTTTCCGGGTGTCGTGTTGAATATCGTATCATTTACTTGAAATGCACGATTTCGATGCGAGATGCGGTTGTGACGTTTGGTTTCGGTCCCGTCAACACGTGGATCGCGAGAGCTGTTTCCGCGGTTCGTTGCACTTGGCGCTTTTTCTCCCCTCGACTCACGACCGAATAAAATATACAAATTCACAACGAAATGGAAATCGTGTAATTTTATATCGGTATCGGCTTTTCTTTGCGCGCGCAAAGTGCACGCCGAGGAAAGGATTTACAATTTACATGTACATGCATTTGCACTTTAATTATGTCCATTAAACGCGCCGCATGTGCGTCGTTTCGTAATCGGAGATATTAAGATTTTCGTCATTTCTGGTAGCACGCTAATTATCATTAACATTAAATTCAACGTTTGTTTGGCTGAAAATCACAAGCGGAAATTAAATTATGAATTATTTACAGGATCATGTAACATAGGAGAAAATATTTTTGACTTGCTAATTGTAAAAATATTTACTTAATTGTTTGGTTGTTTTTGAAAGTTTAAAAGTGTTAAATTTCATTCACTTGTTAAATCTAGCATGAAAACGTTTCTAATTTATGACGTTTGGTCTGGTCTAGTCCTACTATTCCAATTAATAAATTGATTAATAATTTACTTAATAAATTCGGCAATCGGATTTTTTCGGTTGCGAATTTAATTGTGCTCGCTACAGTTGTAGGTGACCTTAATGTGTCAATTAAATTTATATTTGGTCCTCATTCTTCACTTCAAATCAGATAATACCTACGTAAATAAAATATCATTCCATTTTTGGGCTTCATTATAATTTTTTTCTTTGTTGCGTGGTTATTTTTTGCTTCGACTTTTAAATCGTTAGAAAGGAATAATTGGAATCTTCTGGTTGTGGAACGATTAGAAAACGCTTAATATATATAAAGGGAGCAGCAGCTACATCGTCACGAAAAGTTTAAATAAATGATAATCAAAATCATCGAAATCGAGAAGTGCGAATTAAATTTTGCATACGGTTTGTAATAACCTAAGCACTTTCGAAGTTTGATTCGGTTTATCGCGTTTTGCAACCTCACGACTATAATAACTCAGCGAGTAACAATAAATTCGGTGGGTTGTGCGGATTTGGTGAAATGGCATCTAAAAGCCATTTAGCAATGTAAAAAATATCTGCAGGCTTTTTTCTTTGGCAACTAATTACACGAGTGCGAATTTTAAACGCCTCGCGCGAAACGAAACATTGGCAAACATCAATCGAGGCGATTAACACTTTCTAGATAATTGTTTGCGAATTATTGCTCTCGCGCTTGTGCGATGATGCAAAAAATAAAACAACAGTGTTTAGGAGTTTAGCGATTGATACTTATCGCTTTGCACGTTTTTGCGTGTTGTGTTTTTTTCTTCTTCTTCTGTTACTTACGGTTTGATTGATTAAGAAAAAAGAATCATTTCTAAAGGTTTCGATTTCTAATTATTACTTTCCAATGAGATCTTGTTAATGTGAAACATCAATCATTATTTTTAACGAAAATTAACTATAACCTTTGTAAATATAAATCAAGTTATTTATTATTTCACAGAAATATTTTAATTTTAATAAGAAAATTTTCTCTCTGGATTAAATTTTTTAGTTTTTAATTAATAACTTGAAAACTATTAGCGATAAAATTATGACTCTTTCATAAATATATTCTTGTTTAAATTCTACATAAACCTACCTAAAGATTTTGTTTATAGGATTACTATTAACAAAGTTATAAACAATTAAAATTGATGTTTATTTTTTCGGAAAATCAAACTTAATTATATTTCACCAAATGTGAAAATAACATAGATAAGTACATATACATATTTGGTGGCATCATATTAGCTTCCTATTAACCGATAGATTTATGTTAAAGCACATTCTATAAGGTATACCAACGCGAGAAAAACAGTAATGCACAAACGATGCAACAGTTATCTGCAATTCTGCAACATTTCATAGACGATAACTCAGTGCCGCTGGACGCCAAACACGTTAAACAGTTAACCAGGCGTAAATGTTTAACTTTAACACCAATTAAGCGGAAACGGTTAATGGACGTCGTATTTCTCGAGAACTTATTTCGCTTTTCGCTTCGAATTTTGCCTCAAATATCTCTCTGTTTCGTAATTTATTGTTTTAATTGTTGATTACTTTGATGATGACCTATTTTGTAGTTAAAGTTCATCGACGCATGCGCAAATTAATTATTATTATCGCAATCGCATGTGTTTCTCGTGTGTGTGCGTGTGTTTTTTATCGTCGGAAGGCGAAATTGTGGCGCCCGCGTCGCTCGCAGCACATCATCGCGTCGTTAATTAAGCAATTAAATTAATTTACGTATACTGCGTTGCGGCTGTCGAATATTTCAAGCAGTCATAATTGCACTCTCTGGAAATTGAAACCGAAGCAGAAACAGAAGTTTAGAAATTGAAATTGGAATTAATGATCAAAACTTCCATATGATGCATTGCAAGATATAATTATTGTTTATTTGATAAGTATGAGAATGTTGTTTTCATTGCGTGCTAATGATTTTAGAAAGGTAGGTTAATATTTTGTTACTTATATATTGCAGAAGGTAAAAAGCCTCGAATTAAATTGAAATTAACAAAATTATGAGAAATTTATTTTTTCAAAATTGAAATTTTTTAGTTATTAATTAATTACTCGGAAAGTAATTGCGATAAAATGAAAATTGTTTCTCACGCTGTATTAGAATTAAATTCTACGTATAATTTCATTAAGAATTTGTTTATAGTGGCCTTGTACTAAAAGTTATTAATATTTAAAGATAGTTTTGTGAAGAAAAAAAACTGAAAAATCATACAAATTGAACTGTAACTTTTGATTAAAGGTTATTTTTGATAACATTTGTATATTAATAGATTTGGAATTTATTATAGATTTATTTTGTCCAGTAAAAATTAAGAATTGTTTGTTGATTTTCCAGTTATTTAGTAATACAATAGAGTCCGTTTATAATGACATCAAAGGGAACTGACAAACACGTCATAATAAGCGGACGTCATACAAAGCGTTTTGTAAAATGATAAAGAATATTATATGAAAACCAAATTTCTTGTGTAATTACGTCATAATAACCGGTTGGTCATTATAGGCGGAGTCATACTAAACGGATTCTACTGTAATTACAACATTCATATTATGATTTCATCAGAAATTATTTTGCTTATATTTTGATAATTAATGAATAATTCGTAAATTATTAACTCTAAAGTCGCAATTCCTTCAAACGTTGATTTTGAAACACATTCTACACTTATTGATATATAGTTATTTTTAATTAATTTACTCTACAAAAAGTTATAACCAATTTAAATTGCAATTTCTTCTGAAAAAAGTTTAAATTGGATTAAATTTATTTATAACTTTTGATTAAATTAGGTTGTCATGTATTTTGATACGTTTATTAATGCAGAATTTAATCCAGAATAGATTTTCGAAGAAATTATAAATAAACACTTATTGGTTTTAAAGTTATCCGTTAATAACTATAAATATTCATTTATTACTCATAAGTTCACCGTGACTATATAAAACAGAAATATCTTGGCTCTATGATCCGCTCTACACTTGGCTTTACTTGACTTGGCTGATCCTGAATCAAACCACATATTTGTCTCGTGACACTCGCGCCTGTCTAGAAAATATTTGCTCATTGGCCACATTTTAATTAAGATAAAATTATTTTGACGCGAGCTTGCATGATTCAAACCTCGCAAGTAACAGACGACTATTCAAGCATTGCACATACTTAATCTAAATTTAAATATAAAATGGTACATCTAATGATCGTGTAAACATGAAATTGTATTTGCATCCTGTTTAGGAAATGATTCATGGGGTGCGACCTGGATTGCGCGTCGTGTACAACACTGTAATCTGTGCAAACACCACTCGCGCTCGGCACAATTCACACTATATTTAGCATTGACGGCGAGA